AACGTATCACCGGGATAAATCGGTTGAGTCATCATTACATTCGAATTGAAACTCTTTGTTTCATCACTTCCTAGTTCGTCCAAAAAACACATTTTCGGACAAAAATCGTTGCTTGTAGAGCAGTTTTTGAACGATTGATCTGCAGTGGGACTCTGTAGAAAAGCCAAAAAATAAAACTCTAACTTTCAAAAAACGGTGTATTTTCATCAGTCAATGTGGCTAGTTCTCCTCCAATTTTTTCACAAATCCTCTTTGCATCTCCAGGAAGAATTCCCATTTCCATTGAACCAAATAGCTAATAAAAAGTTTATTCTTGCATCGAAAGCTATTATGTTGGTAGCTACCAGAACGACAACTACCGTAACCGAAAAGTATTCTTATTTTCCGAATATTTTTTCTCACTTTTCACAGATTTTCGTCGAGTTTTCTGTTATTTTTTCCCCCAAAAAATCCAAAAATAAAACTATTTGAGACAGAAAAAAAATTACTGAAAACGCACCAAAATCGAGATAATAAATCTAAATATTTTTAGGTTACTGTAGTAGTCGTTTTGGGACCTTCCACTATCTGCGTTTCCCTTCCACATCTCCGATGTTTTGTACCAGAATAGTAACCTACTTTTAATTCTTGCGAAAACACTTGAAAATTGACTAGAATCCATGAAATATTTAGAGGAATCCAAAACCAAAACTTCTGTATACCTTTTTGCAAATTCATATTTTCTTCTTTAAAAATTCGAGGTTCTAATTTTCTAGCTCTTTGATTTATTTCCGATTCGAAAAAAAACACAAAAATCCACGCATGGTGACCGATTTCTCATTTTGCACATTTTCCAACAAAATCCGAACAACCGGACCGTTCCAATTAATTAGTTGTTCTTTTTACAAAAGTCACATCACCAATTAGAGGTTTACGGTCCCAAGAAAAAAAAATAGAGATCCAAAATTAGACAATTCACAGATGTTGGAATAGTGTAACAGAATTTGAACTGTGTGAAAAATTGAAGTTCTGGGGTCTTATAAAAAATAAGTGTTGACGATATTGGTTATACTTCTAATAGGTTTGGGGATGCATATTTTCAGAAAAATATCTAAGCCTGAGATACAACATATTCACATTACTATTCACGGAGGCATAAATTGGGTCCACCAGAAAGACAAAAAAGAAATTGAGCCAAAACTGTTTGAAAAGGTCACATATCCGCACTTATCATCCTATAGAGCCTCAAAACTCAAAACTACAAATTCTGGTACATTATTCCAATATCTGTGTCTTTTCAAGATTCGGACCTCTATTATTTCTTGGGACCTCTAGACTTTTCTGCAAAAAAAAGTATGTTGAATGAAACGGTAACCCGAATTTTCAATTTTTGTTTCGATTTCGAGTACCCAACCAGGCTACCCTGAAAGTTGCAAGACAATTGGTTCATTCAGTTATAACGCAAAACAGCTTGTCTTGCGGGATCGCCATTTCGCCCCATGGACAACCATAGTTTTATATACAAGGTAGATATATACATTGAAATTGCAATAAAATGTATTACACTTATTTTTCAAACAACAAACAAACAAAGATTGAAAACGGACGAATAGAAAGGCTCTTTTTAGTCTACAGGGGGCAAAAACGGCAACTTGGCTTCAAAATGAGATATTCTGGGGGTGTCAAATGGTAGATCTAGAAGAACTCTATCTCACAAGCAGTTTCACATTACTTCAACTTCAGTATTCGACCAGTTATAATCCACTAAAAACGACATTTGTATCGGTCTCTGGCGGACCAGGATTAGTTACTGAACTTGAAATTTTCAAGAGATGAGTGCTCTTCAGGATTTATATTTCAGTGAATATTTTATTCTGAAGCCGTTACCTTATCAAATATTTCTTTTCAAACTTTTCAAAAGTACTAGGCACGTATAGCAAAGAGTAAGGTAGTATTCGTTCTCAGCGTGCATCGAATTCAGACAAGAGTAATAGATGCTTTCTCATGCTGAACAATCATTTAAAAAACATTTGCGATAACACCTGAAAAATGCCCTATTCTCGTCCATGCGCTGGAAACTGTAGCATTTACGAATTACCACTTCTCCATACCTGAAAAGAACTTGAGAAAATAACATTAATCTATTTAGACAAAATAATTCTTGAGAATAATCCATGTTACAGTAGTCCATGGAAATAGTTACAAACCTGGCAGGATATCTTGCCGTTTCATTTGTCCTCACTATTTCCAAGTCTTCCTCAAATAATTTTTTGAAAACTGTCTTATTTTCGAAACCCACTTATAGGTATTGCAATCGTTGGGATCCACCCGAGCGCCAATGTCTCAAAAATGAATTCAAATCTGAAACAGTGAGTCTGGAACTGTTAATGTGGATATCAATAGCATCGAAATTCATCAAATTGTCATAAGTGACCCAGCATCCGTTTGGACTGATCCACAAATCTTTTACTGGTTCTAGTTTTCCGTTGAATCGATAGTTGTCGGAAACGTTCGTCGATACCTAGCAATTCAGAAGAACGGGCGTTTCTGCAACAAATAATTTTAATTCGGTGAGTTTTTCGAAGGAAGAATAGCGGTTTTCAGGAATTGCACAGTTTCATCAAAAAATAAAACTTCCTTCTTGTAATTCACAATTTTTTATGAAAATCATTTAGTAAGAAGTTTGGTCCTTAAAAGGGTTCACACCTATTTTGGATAATTTCGGACATTTTGCTTATATAAAAAACGCTACACGCTGTTGGTCCCGGTGTCAGGCTGTGGGCTTTTGAAAAGCTTGAAAGATAAATATAGGTTTGTGTGACCCTTTAAGAAAAAATAAGGAGCGGAGCGATAGACCAGCAACAAACTAGATTGAATCGCGCCGAAGGCCCACCGGTTTGCCGGTCAATGTATAAAAACTAATTTGAATTTTTCTCTACAGTGGACAATAGGCTTAAAATTGAGTTCTACAGAGAACGTGTTTTAATGCTTTTGAAATGAATTCACTACTCCTCTACTTTTGAAAACTTGGGTTTAAAATCGGAAACGGTGAAACTTCTCACTTAGCACATAATCCAATATTTCGTCAGCATTCGAATTATTATTTTTTGACTTTATCAATCCGAAACGATCCAACGGATTCTCCTGTCGTTTGTTGATCCAATCAAGTGCCCAAGTATTGTATCTATCGATGAGCAATGTTCGAATACCGATGTTAAACAGACATAGTCCACAACCCACTTTGATGCCACCACTTGATCTTCAGAATATAGAATTAGACATTCCGATGAAAATTATATTTTGTATCCATTGATTTCAATAACTTTGCATTCTACTTCGTTAATATTTGATATGTGGACAACTGATAAAACAGTGTTCCTCTTTTCGATTTTTGATGTTACAATGACGACTTGTCTTGTACTCACACGTTCTTGCAGGTTTGTTTCCCACATCAAAGGTTTCCTTCGTCGATAATGATTTCATAGAAGGCATTTAGTTATTGGAACAGAAAGAGGCAGTCCCTCTGGAAATGTTCAGTTTCGGTTCGAATTAGAAAATTTCTTTGGTTTTCAAACATACGTTTCTTTTGGTTCCAATAGACTGAAGATTTCTGAGAGCACAACGAATGGAGTACGGAGTATTGGAAACGGCATGGGAACGGGACTGAATGAATTGGGAGAATAAAGAAAGATAGAATGGTGGTGGTTCTCAGTATAAAGAGGGTGGGAGAGAGGATGCACTGGCAATCGATGGGACCAAATCGAGATAGGGAGAGTGTGTCCTTCCCACGAGTCATACTGTGCCCATCATTTCGTCTACTGTGGAACATTGAACGCGATCTAATCCCCCTTCTACCGCTCGTTCTTCTCACACCTTCTCGTACCATTTACAGTGCATAACAGAGCTACAAGGTCACTCCAAAAACGCACTGTAACTTTTTCAAACTACAGATTTTTTTCAGCACCAAATGTACTCCATAGGAGCCGAATTTGGTGAAGGGGTCAAGGTTTTGAAACTGTGCCCTAGAAAAATAATACTTCTGGTGATATAGAAGATGACGACGTAGAACATTGATATATCCTCTGCTGGAAGTTCAGTGGCAAAGCATCTATGCAACGTGGTATTTTTATTTGGTCAGTTTTGTAAATCAGCGTATCAATTTCAAAGGAAATTCTAGATGCTGTTTTCAGATTTTCAAATCACTGATGCCAGCATCTTATCAGCCGATATAGGTTATACTTCTAATAGGTTTAGGGATGCATATTTTCAGAAAATTATCTAAGCTTGAGATACAACGTATTCACGAAGGCATTACTGTTTTGCCGACATTTTGGTTATATGTAAATTGGGTCCACCAGAAAGACAAAAAAAGGGAACCAACACTGTTCACATTTCCGAAGTCACATTTCCGCACTTATCATCCTATAGAGCCTCAGAACTCAAAACTCCAAATTCTGGCACTTTATTCCAATATCTGTGTGTTTCTCAAATTTCGGACCTCTATTTTCTCTTGGGACCTCTCTTCTTTTTTCGGACCTCTAAAATTTTTTGGGACCTCTAAACTAGAAAAGAGCCCTAATTTTCTGCCTCTTCGATTTCCTTTCGATCGGAAAAAAGAACATAAAAAATCACGCTTTGATGACCGATTTTCCAATTTTGGCACATTTTCCAACTACCGTAATTCGAACAACCGGACCGTTCCAATTAATTGTTTGTTCTTTTTACAAAAATCACAAATTTATCAAACTGTCTGAATCTCTTCATCAATTCTTATCACAAAAAAAATTTAAAAGTTTACACAACTTCTTACTTTTTTCAACAATTAACCTCTCCGTATCGTTCGTCAAACTGGTTATTCTGTCCATCGAACTCTCTGCGTCTCGCTGATTTCTGTTATCGTTTATCAACTGTTTTCTATACTTATTTGTAGCCCTTTTTTGCTTTCTAACTCTTTGTCCATTCTATTGGTCATCATTTAACTTCTTCTTCTTCTTTTTACTTTATTCTCCCCAAGCCTACTAATGACCACTTCTGAACTCCTATGGAAATTCCGATTTATTGCCGATTTTGCAGCTATCGGAACTTTATGCTTTATGACTATTATGACAGGTGTTGTTATTTATTTGACTAATAATATTATTGATGAAATTGATGAAGTTAGAGATACTTTTATGAGTAAGAAGAAGGTTTTTGAGGTGAGTTGTTCATTCATAGTGACAGTTCAGTTGTTTTCATATCAGATGTACGCCAACGATGCTGAAAACTTGATGTCTCATAATCGTCACGTTGAGGGTTTCGCTGATATGTTCAACACAATGATTCGAGCACCTAGGAGATCATCTAATTCCTGTAACTAATAAATGTTGTTTTTATACAGTGCGTTCAATAATTATAGGACCCCCACCCCCCTCGATTTTGAGGGTTCTGAAAAACTGAAAATGATATGAAAAATCTGTGAATTCCATTCGATTCAGAATACAAAATAACCTCCAGGTACAAATTTCCCCTGCCTCTGATGTCCCTGCCTCTTTTTTCATTCCCGTGCCAACAAAAAGGCCCTCCCGCAGGCGTTCAATAATTAAAGGACCCCCCAGAAAAACGAAAAATCGCAAGTTTTTTCGGGACCAAAATTGGACCTTTTTTAGTTGGAAATCATTAAAATAGTCTCAAAGTAGCCTATTTTGACAGTTTACACGAAAATTGATTCCCCTATTCAAGTTTTAGAAAAATATATTTTTAGACATTTTCGCCATTTTTTGAGATTTTGGATTAAATCTCGAATAACTTGGCTCATGTGTGAGATTTTGAGCTGACATTGATAGGGGATATCTCAAAAGTGATCATAATCATTTTGCAAGTAATCAAGGCATTTTCGAGCTTTTATTGCTCAAAATTGAGCTCCATTTTTGAACTGAAAAAATATGCCCAATTGAAAATATTCCAAGTTGTCTGAAATTTTTGAATGATGTTTCAAGTGTTCACAATCGCCATCGAAATTATTATTTTGTACGGAAAAATGATATTTGAGCGTAACTTCAAGGTTTTTGACAAAAAACAGAATCACCGAATTTCAAGGTCAATTTTTGAAATTTCAGTTCAGCTTAAATCACGAACAACGGCTCAGAATAGTATTGTCGAATTAAAAAAAGTGACACCTGAGAATTTGAAAACTTTTGCTTTTTTTGATCTACGAAAAAGTGCGGCAAAAACGTAATATTTCAGAATTTTGGCTCGTTCGAGCTACTTTCGCGTTTAGGTTTAGTATTTTACGGAAAAATAGATTCTAGAGCTGCTGCCGATCATTTTTATATCAAGAAATCAAAATTTTGTTCAGAAAATCCCACTGAATTCACATAAATAAATTGAGACTCCACCGATTCCGAGGAAGGGGTT